TTAGAGCTCAGTGTGCCCACCAGCACCTGCCATGTTATCTCTTGTTACTTCCCCTGCTCACCTGCTATGGCCACCCCATTCTCCATGTTATTCCTCCTGTCACCAAGCACTCTTCACCTCACTGACTTTGGACTTTGAACTCTTTGAGAGAATCATATTCCCCAGACAGTTCCATAGCTGATGTCCTCATCTCCTTTCCCGGATATTGGCATACCTCCCTTACCTCTCTAACTTTTTGCCAAAATGTCACCTGTCCATGAGACCTAATCTGTGTAAATTGCAGCCTACTCTCCTTACCCCCATCCTGTTCCACTTTTCCTTTCCCAAAGCACTCATCACCATGCAACATAATAAATAACTCATTTTTTTTTTACCATTCACGGTGTGTCTTCTCTGCTACAAGATGAGCTCTGGAGGCCAGGCATCTTTGATTTGTTCACCGAATGCCCCAGGCACCAGAGCAGTGTCAAGCACATTAAGGACACTCAATAAATAGGTTGGATCTTTCTCAGAGGTCCAGGATATAAAACCAACTAAAGAAGGACTACTCTAGTTGAAGAGAATATGAGCTCAAAATCTCTCCTCACATCCCTGCAGGCTCTCCATGGAATAGCTCTTGCTCCAATGAACAAATTTGAAAACTGCTGACATTTGTTCTAATACGTAGAGTCACTTTTGAAGCTAGAAAGTGCGGTGTAATGTCAGGCTCAAACTCTTTGTGCACAGCAGGTGCCCCGTTGGTAGGGAGCAGGGTACAGACCCCAGGACTGGATCCTTGCTGTTACTCAGGTCTCAGCTGCACCATCACCACTCAGCAAAGCCTTGCCCATCTACCCTCTCTTCATTCTGCACAGCATGACTAGTAATTTTAGGCTGGGAAAAAAAAAATTTAATGTTTAGTTATTTATTTATTTTGAAAGGGGGTGGGGGGCAGAGAGAGGAGAGGGAAAATCCCAAGCAGGCTGTGTGCCCTGTCAGCACCGAGTCTGACGTGGGGCTCCATCCCACAAACCATGAGATCATGACCTGAGTCAAAATCAAGAATCAGACACTTAACTGACTGAGCCACCCAGGCACCCCTGGGCTGGAAATAATTTGTAAGGACTTTGTTGAGCAGCTACTATATGTTAGGCAGTGTCTGTACTCAGTTCACTCCATAAGCCATCTCCTGAAACTGTCTGCCCTTTCACCCTTGTCTCTCCAGCCTCTGATCACAGGCATGGCACAAATAAGGATGATCCATAAATGATCAGTTATTTCCTCAACAACCCTCTGAGGCAGGTACCATTAACACCATCTTATGAGTGAGGGACCAAATTTCAGGTTTAACTAGCTTGTTTAATGTCATAAAACATTAGACATGTGCATTAGACTAGTGCATGTCAGAGCAAGGATTTCAGTTCTACTCAGACAAGCTCCAATCACTCTGGTTCTGAGAGGGAATTCGGGTTAGACCATCTGCTTCCCTCAAGCAGATCTGTCTCCTGGCCACACCAGAAAATGAGGGAAGGGGCATTTGTTTTCTATGTGGCTTTCTCTCCTCCACCTGGGCACATCTCCTCCCTTCTTTCAGTTAGCTCACCTGGAGGGGTCTCCTGCCACCTTTTGATTAATGGGCCTGCCTTTCCCACCCTCCCTGGCTGGGTAACCTCAGAGTTAACAGTGGTTCATCTTGAATTACAAATGGAGTTCTGAAAGACATTGCAATTTTCTGCTTACAATCTCCCTAGAATTCAAATTCTTTGTGAAGGTCATTTGCTTATGAGTAGAATGATGGATTCATCAACTCTCTCCCTTTAAGAGATATCTGGATGGTGTCTTCTGATGTCCCCCTGCCCCTTCCCAAACTGGCCCTAGCTAGTTCATTTAATGTAGCTAGAATTCCCCCCAAGGACCCCCACTCAGTTTCCACTCTGGTCACTTAACTAAGGAAAAGCTCTAATCATGTTGTCTCATTACATAAACAGAAATCATTTATAACCAGCATGTTCATTGAGCCTTCCACATATCCACTCTTAGCTGTGATTTTCTTTCTTAGCCATTCTTAGCATGCCAGCTACTTATACCATATAGGGGCAAAGCAACTTTGTATATCCCCAGAACTATTTTATCTGAGAAGCAGCCTCTGAGTCTCCAGCACCCAGAACTTTAGCCCCAGGAGAAAGCATCTCCATAAATCTGATGTTTAATGCCAGATTAAAATCTCTCTTGGAAGCTTTTGAGTTCGTTTCAGAGTTGCCTGTGGAGACAATGATTAACTATAGATGTCACGCAGGTTTTCATTTTCCAGGTGCTTTTTATTTCATCTAGAACCAACAGTGTCCTTTAGAATCTGCTACTCCCTCTCAGATCCTCTTTCTGTAGGTTTTATGTTCAAAGACTCTGGGTCGGAGAAGCTCAAGGTTGAGTTGAATATCTGAAATGACCAATTCCACCAATGCTCTGTTAGTAAAAGGCTGGCATTGTTCTCCAGTTGTGTGGGACTTCCCTGTGTACTGGAGGACATTTGTGCTTCCTGCCTCATTCACAGAATGTGAGGTGCCTGTAAGAACCAGAAGTGCCTGTAGGCAATATTCCAAGTACCTCTAATTGGAAGCACCAGTGACAGTATCTCGCAAAGATGGTGAACTGGGAGCAGATACCATAAAGTTCTGCCACTGATGAGGGGGTGTGCCTATCCCCAGGGCTTCTCCGGTTCCAGTGCACATTGCTTCCTACTCTTGTTGCCTTCAATGACCTATGTTTGCTTTCAAATCTGGTCTTGCTAAATATTATTTTAATCTCTGATTTCTTCCATATAAAACTGGGCAGGAAGGAGAGGAGGAAATATCCTCGTAAGGAGGGTTCTGTTCTCTGGAATGACTTTGGACTCTTTTTCAAGTTAATGATTGAGAGAGTTTACTAGATGGAAGTTCCCAAGCCCAGCAATTAGAGCCTGGGATAAAAGAGATAGAAACAGGGACAGAAACAAATAGAATCACCAGGACCCAAACACTGGGCTGCAGCCAGGGTGTCTTCTCTCAACTGCACCCCACATCAGTCCTGACGTGCTTGTAGATCCCCGAGTTCTACTTCTCTTCTGCCCCACGATTTCTAGAAAAACTGCAAGGTAAATGGCCAGAGTCAGGACCTTCTAGTAGAGTAGGGATTCTATAACTCTCCAGACCCCGCAAGAGTGTAACTATCTATAAGGAACCATCATCCAGAAAGGCAGTCAGATAGATGGCTGTGTCTGTTCTTTTTGTCCCGCTTCTTATTTCTCTTGGGCATGATTAACCACACATGCCAACGCCCCAGCTCACGGGCTGCCTGTTCCTACGGCCCGCCCACCTGCCTGTCTTGCCGGGGCTGTGTCCATGCAGCTCTCAGCATATCCTGTTTGTTCAATCCCCTTTGTCTCCCACTGGAGCAACAGGGAGAAAGGATTCCTCTGAGCCCCTTGGATTTGGGCTTTGAAATCAGATCCTGGCACACCTGATTACACTCAATAGCTGGAAATGGTAAGGATGTCCGATGGGCAGAGGGCTCTTGTTTTAAGCTCTGCACACCAGGAAGGCAGGGGCTGGGTCTCCTCGGGGCTGCACTGGAGGGGGCAGGATGCTCTGGCAGGAAAAGCAAACAGTGTAGCTGAAGGGAAATTCACTTGAAAAAGAACTTGGGGCAGTGTCCATCAGGGGGCATGTAAGCTGTCCCTGAGGACACAAAATGGGGCTTAGACTCATTCCTCTTTCCTCACACCTCCCTGGTTGGGAAGCATTCGGTTCCAGTAACCACACGCCCAAGGGCTGGGAGAGTCAAGCTCTCTGTCCTGCTTTTTCTGTAGAGGTGTTGCCTCTGAGACCTTGGCAAAGGGAATAAAAAAAACAGCAACTTACAAGCCATGACAATGGGAAGGAAGCTAAGAAGCTCCTCAGCCTCCACGCACCATGAGCTTTCCCACAGAGATTGAAAAGTCATTAGGAAAATTCCACACGTACAAAAGGCATAAAGAGCACCCTTGCACCAGCACCCAGCTTAAGAAATGAGATGTTACCAATGCAGAGGTGCCTGGGTGGCTCAGTTGGTTGAGCACATCTGACTCTTGATTTCAGCTCAGGTCATGATCCTAGCGTTGTGAGATCAAGACCCAATTTAGTCTCGGAGCTCAGCATGGAGCCTACTTAATTCTCTCTCTCTCTCTCTCTCTCTCTCTCTCTCTCTCTCTCTCCCTCTCTCTCTCTCTCTCTCTCTCTCTCCCCTCTTCCTCTGCCCCTCTCTGCCCCCTCTCTAAAATTTACAAAAAGATTAATTTGAGAGAGAGAGAAATGTTACCAATGAAGTTAAAGCCTCGGGGGTCCTCCCTGAACCCTCCTCTACCCCACCTCTCCAGCAACAACCTCTCAGTCACTCCAGGCCTTTCCTACATGTTCCAGGGGTGTGTGTGCAGCCCTCTTTGTGATAATCACGTGCCACATTCCCCAGATACACCACTCCTTTTTCATGCCTTTAGCCCAATGTGGCTGCTGTGCTTTACTGGCCTGCGATGCTAGTCCCCTGTCTCACTCTTCCTTCCACTCTGGGCTCAGATGTCACTAACCTGGGGGGCTCTTCCTATCGCCTGAGGCACTGATTCCTGGAGCTCCATGGCCCTCAGCCCTCGTCTGAGCACTTGCACTATTGCCATGACGCCCATAGTGTGCCCACCCCACTTCCACACGGGGCTGCAGATGCTATAGGGACAAACACTGGTCCCCTGTGGCTCCTCCAGCCAGTGACCTGGCCCATTGCCTACTGGCAATGGAGTTGCCAGTTGAGTGAGTGAATGAGTGGGTGCCCAAATGAATGACAACTCAGCTATCAGACTTCTAACTTTCTTTCCAAGTTAAATGGGGAAGTCCCCATGGCCCCAGTGCCTTTTATAGGGGCATTTTCCTCCTCTAAGCTCCAAATCTTCTCTCTTCTGGAAGCACAACACTGAAAGGTCTCTTCTTCACATTCCTCAAATGAAGTTGGAACAAATATAATGGGAGTGTAAACTTTATTCCCCATAACTTCAACAAACAATAGTTTCAAAGAGAACCCTGGGTGGGCTTCATGTAGGTCTTGAACATCTTTTTCTAGGTGTCTTGTCACTTGTGTTCTTTGTCTTCTTGCAGCCTGTAGAAATCCTTAAAGACAGGAAAATGTACAAACCTATTAATCTTGCTTAGAAAATCCACTTTACCGCCACAGAAACAAAATATTGGGAAACAACAATCTGGCTATTAAGGTGTTCTCACCCACACCCATTGTTCTCTGCTAAAACATTTGGTTGTTGCTGTGTAGACTCAGCTTTAGTCATGGAATTTTAGAGGATGTGCCTCAGAAGTGGGATCAAGAGCAAGCTTGACAGTAATCTGCACCGTAAGCCCATTTGGTGCCCTGGCACTGAGAATGGGCACCCAAGTCTGCCCAGGAAGGACATGAGAAGTGAGAGCGAGGCCAAGGGCTGGGTTGTGTGCATGCAGCACAAAGGTCAAATTTTCTTTTATGTTTGTTTGTTTGTTTTTACATGTGTAATTTTTATCAAGGTGAAATTCACATAACATAAAACATATTGAAGTAAACAATGCATGGGAGCCTGGGTAGCTCAGTCAGTTAAGCATCTGACTCTTGGTTTCAACTCAGGTCATGATTTCACAGTTGGTGAGTTTGAGCCCCACGCTGGGCTCTGTGCTGACAACATAGAGCCTGCTTGGGATTCTCTCTCTGCCCCTCCCTGGCTTGCTCTCTCTCTCTCAAAAAATAAATAAACATAAAAAAATTTTTTAAATGTGATTTAAAAAAAAAGTAAATAATTCAGAGGCAATGAGTACATTCACGGTATTGTGCAACCACCACTGATATCTAACATTTTTACCACCCCTAAAGGAAACCCTATACCCATTGGTCAATACTCCCCAATCCCCCCTCCCCTCAGCTCTTAGAAACTACCAGTCTGTGCTCTGCCTCTATGGATTTACCTATTCTGGATATTTCACGTAAGTAAAATCATACAGTATGTGACCTTTTGAGTCTGGCTTCTTTCACTAGTGTATTTACGTGGTTCGCCCATAGTGTAGCACAGTTCAGTACTTCACCCTTTCACTGGCTGAGTACTATTCTGTTGTACAAATATACTGCATTTTGCTTATCCATTCGCCAACGGTGGCTATTTGGGCTGTTTGCACCTTTTGGGTACTGTGAATAGTGTTGCTATGAACTTGTGTGTACATGTATTTATTTGAGTAACTGTTTTCTGTTCTTTCGGGTATATACATAGGGGTAGAATTGCTGGATCATAGAGTAAATCTAGGCTTAACTCTTTAGGACTTACCATACTGTTTTCCTCAGTAGCTAAATCATTTTACATTCCCACCAGCTATGTACAAGCACAGGTAAGAGTTTATCCTTATGGGAGTTACATTCTAAAGTAGCCTCAAGAGCTCAATGGCTGTGTTGTGTGCACACATACTCTATAAGTGGAGATAGAAATTTTGCACAGGGGTAAAGGAGAAGGTGGAGCCCTCAGTAGACAAGTTGAGGGATGTTGAGAGGAACAGTGGACTTTACCTGTCTCCTTGCCATGCTATCCTTAGCTAAGCAAGGAACGGGCTATTTACTGTCTCTCATCTCTTCACTTCCTTCCAGTTAGTTTTCACAACTACCCTGTTCTCAAGCCTTAGGGTCATACTGACTGTCCACCTTTAGCCAGATTTCAGTAACCATGTGGGATTCTCTTAGTACGTGATCCAGTGTTTAGAGCTCCCATTTTTGTGAAAGTTGAACTTGACACATGCCACCCATTACCATCTGGGAGCCAGAAATGGGAGGAACACCTTTAAAGAGAAAGCTGCAAAAGCAAAGTTATTCATCGTAACTGTGCAGGAGAAAGACAAGATCATCAACAGAACCCCACTGAGTTAGGGCTTTCTTCCCTCACAGTCTGGTGGCTGAAAGCATCAGCAATTTGGAAGGAAGGCCTTCCCGAGAGAGAGGCCTACGAATCCCTAGGACAATGTCCTTTCTGTTAACCATGGATCTTTATGGCTGAACATGGGCTAAAAGAGGAAGTCGAGAAGGGGGTGCTCGGGGAGTGGGAGCATGGCCCTGAGAAGGGAGCACGACCAGAGACGGCTTTTAAGAAAAGAGAGTAGGGTCTCCTGGTCATTTTCTGTGAATGTGAAGCTTTGGGAGGATAACAAGGAGAAGAGAAGGGGAAGGGCGTGAGCACTGGGAGAATTAATGCTTCCAGTGGGCTTGGCAGGAAGGAGGATCAACACACCATTTGGAAGTAGGTCTTTGCAGCTCACTCATAAGCCTTTGGGGGCACAAGGGGCTTTGAAATACCAATGTATCTGGCTGAGAATAGGAAGCCTTGAGATGTAATTCTGATTTGAGCCCTGCCATTGAACACAAGGACGTCTCAGTTTTTCACAGGGTAAGAGGAGGTTGTCTTCACATTCTTCCAATAAATAAGAGAATGAACAACCAGATTATCTCTTGAAAATGGACCATGCCCCTTTCTTGGGGACAAGTGGAGAACCAGTGATGTCAACATGGAAATGAGTGATTGTCCTCACCAGCCACAAGTGAGAGCTTTTGTCTTGACTTTTTAATCATAATCCAACAGGACATTTTGTAGGGCAAATGGATGTAGTGGGCTAAATGGTGGCTCCCCAGAAGATACGTCCACATCCTAACCCCTGGAACCTGTGAATGCAACCTTCTTTGGAATAGGGTCTTTGCAGATGTAATTAAGTTAAGGATCTTGAGATAAGATCCTCTGGGTTACCCAGGTGGCCTCTAATCCAGTGACAAGTATCCTTATAAGACACATGCAAAGGAGAGACACGTGAAAAAGAGGAGGCCATTTGAGCACAGAGGCAGAGTCTGGAGTTACGCAGCCCCAAGTCAAGGAATGCCTGGAGCCTCCAGAAGCTGGAAGAAGCAGGGACGTGTTCTCCTCAAAAGACTTCGGGGGGATCATGGCCCTGCCAACATCTTGATTTGGGCTTCTGGCTTCCAGAACTGAGGTGGCATAAATTTCTGTTGTTTTAAGACACCACATTTGTGACAGTTTGTTGCAGCCACCTTAGGAAACTAATACAATGGGGTTGTATAGAAAGACGATATGACAAGGGAGAGAGAGAATCTAGAAAACCAAGTTCAGTGCCTGGATTTGCTGCTCATGTCCGAGGCAAATTTTGTCAACTTTGTGTTACCGGTAAGTTTCCTCCTGTGTTTCCTCCTGTGTTTGCTTTTCATGGCTGAGAGGAGGACCCATAACTTACTTGAGGGTGCTACTCAGGATTGGAGGAGGTTGGGTCAGACCTTCACACAAGTTCAAAATGGCGGTAATAGTAATGACCACATTCTATAGAACATTTAACACATGGTACGTAATTTACATACATTATCTCATTTGGTCCTCAGAACAATTCTACGAGGGTAGTATTCTCATCCCCATCTTACAGATGCATAAACCGAGGCTCTGAGAGGTGACATAGCCTGTTCAAGGCCATTCGGGGAATGATGGTGGCACTAGACCTGTGCTGAATCCATAGCATTACAGAAGATTCAAGCCTCACAAAGACAGTTGATGCAGCACCCCCACAGCATCCCACAGTGCCCTGCTGGCTGATGAGAAAGGTCTGTTTATTTTCTAAATATTAGCACCAATGACACTACAGTTTGGGCGAGGATCTGGTTAGACCCTGCCAACAGCAGCTGGATGGCAAAACATCCACAGTCCAGGAAAATCTAGACATAATTGATACTGATCAAGATCCTCTTGGCCCCACGGCTCTGAGCCTTCCTCCCCCCTCAGCCATGCTGTTGGGGGGGGGGGGGGAAGAGATGAAACCCCTAATCAAGTGGTCTCTCCCATGTGAGAACCTGGACAGTCCACAAACAGAACCCATCAGGTATAACTCTCTTCCCCAGCCAGGAGAAGGGAGGAAGCTGGCTGGAGAGAAAGGTTCTGATAAAGCCCTGTCCTGGGCGGACTGACTCTGGGGCCCTCTCTTCGTCAGGATGGTCTCAGGCAGGCCCTACACCTGGAGTCCCTGTGCCTTTCACAGAGTCACAGAGTTTGGGAGAGATCTGAACTGACCTCCTTCTTGCAGCCGCTTAGGCTGGGGTGTGGCTAATGGGGCAGCTTCCCTGTCCTTCCAGCATTCTGAGTCGGAGTGAGTGCAGGAGCAGGGAGGCGACCCGAGGGCCTGCCAGGTTTCCTCCCACGCAGACCTCTGCGCAAGATAAAGTCAGGAGAGGCTGTGCCACAGGACAACAGCATAATAAATCCCCTCCGGCCTCCTCCGGGGCTCATTGTTCTATTGCAGCAGTTGTTTGGAGTATGATCAAAAGGAAGGAAGAGCACTGTGCTATCAGGCTGGGGAAGAAGGATGCTCTCCTGACCGCTCCTGTTGCCCTTGGCCACCCTCGTTTTAAATATGAGGAAATCGAAGGGCAAATTGCAGCCTAACCCCAGCCGCATGTGAGGCTCAGCCAGCCACTCCGAGGCCCCCTGGACCTCTGGTGAGGCAGCAATCCTGTCCAGACTTGCTGACAGCCACCTGGGTTACCCTGGCCTTGTCCTTTCGCCCTGGGCAGGGGGCCGGGAGGCCCCGGCTCAGGGTCAGCGGCAGTGTGGGGAGGGCGCTGGAAGTGGGCCGTGGAGTGGCTGCTCAGCTGTTGTTTACCCCTTGGGCTGAGAACTGAGGCCATTAGGCCACAGCCATTGGAAATCACAGGCCAGAAAAGGAATTCCCGAATCTGGCTGGCCTGGTGCCTATGGCTCAAGACAGCGAATAGCTCAGGTTCTTGGGAAGGTGGTATCTTCAGGACTCACAGCCTTTCCTACCCGGAGCCAAGTCCGGGCTTGGGCACAGGTGGTACGCACCTCAGCCCCCAAGGCTGGATTCCTGCAGGGAACTGGAGCAGAAAGCACCAGCTTCCTTGAGGCGGGAAGGGTGGAGCTGAGGGTTCCTCCCGAAGACTGCAGGCTCGGGGAGCCCTTTGCTTCTCCCCAGTGACGCCCTGAGTCTGATTCACCAGGTGCCTGGTCACCTTTGTCTGGGCTGGAGGCCACGTCTGAGCCATCAAAGGCACCTCAATGGGGGAGGATGTCAGTGTGCTTCCTCAACCA